ACAAGCAAAGCAGCAGAATATCTCTGGGGTTTAACCAGTTCCCTAAGGGTTAAACAGTTCTTAAAGACTAGCAAATATTTTAATGAAGCTGCCTTGGATGCAAAAGATATTGGAGAAATATTAGTGAAGGAGGGGACAGTAGATGTCTGAGATAGGGGTAACAGAAGTGTATATTGCACTGAAAGGAAGGAAGGCTGTAGGATTTTGAAGCAGAATCATTGGAAAGTGGTCAAATGATGTACCGACGAAAGGACAAAACCTCTGCAAGAGTTTTTCCTGAGTAACTATAGCGGTTCTAGATCTAAGCCTGTCTTGTCTAGAAAAGAGAAAGAAGTCACTAAGGTTAGCATTGAGGGAAGCATAAATGGTTTTTTGTTTGTTTATGCTGTCTGTTTATTACATTTTTTCTGTTCTGTCTTAAAAGGAAAAAAAAACAAAACAAAACTTGACCAAAATATGATACTGAAAGGCTCCCTTTGCTAAAAGATATTTCAGTATTAAATCAGAATTGCAGAAAACATTCACAGTCTAATTTTTCTGTTTTAGAATGTTTTTGAAATACATTTTGCAAAGATCCCAGATCCAATTGAGAGTATGTCTGTGCATTACATGAAAACAGACACCACAGAAACCCTTGGTAGGGAAAGTGGTGCTCCCTCTGATGATAACACTTCTGATGATTCCGAAGATGAACGGGTCCAATGTCTTGCAAAACTTCAGGAGCAGGTAGTTGACTATATTGATACATGTTTGGTACTCTGATTCTATGAGCTGCTATAACAGATCAGTGATAAAGTTCTTATTGTAGATTAAAAGCCATTTTATTAATAGACCATACCCACGTGGCTCATTGATCTAGGGGTATGATTTTGGCTTCTGATGTGAAAGATCCTACATTCAAATCCTGGACAAGCCCAGAGTTACTTCCATTTTGGAGCTTTGGTGCTGTGGGTTAATGTGCTAAAATGCAGAGTTTGTTTGAACTGCAAAGTTGGTGGCTCAAGCTTACCAGCTGCTCCTTTGAAACCCTATACATGGTCACTATGGGTCAGAACTGATTCTGTGAGTCAGTTCTGACTCATAGGAACCTGTATAGGGTTTCCAAGGCTGGTGGGGCTAGAACCACTGCCCTTGTGGTTTGCAGTCCAGCGTTGTTTATCCTATGGAGCCACCACACTCCCTTGTTAACTTATGGAGCACATTTAAAATGTTTTTCATACTCAAGATTTTTGTATCTTAACATACTTGTTTTTATATTCCTAACTATAGGCATTTAACAACAACAACTACTACTATAATAATTAGTGATTAATAATATAAATATTGAATATGAATTATTAAAAACTTAAGACTACTTGTTGTTGTTAGGTGCCATTGAGTTGATACTGACCCATAGCGACCTTATGCACAGCAGAACGAAACAATGCTCGATCCTGGGCGAACCTCACTACTGTTACCACGCTTGACTACTAGGAGATGTTAATTACTGCTCAAGTAATTGTCTTCAAGTGTATTTGAGTACACGATGGTACATATCATTTACTGTATGTCCTTTAAAGCAGTGGATTTGTGAAAGCAATAAGAACTTGAGGGAAATGTAATGTTTTACACAAGAATACCCTTAATTTTTTCTAGTGTCTTTACTTACTTGGAACTATGAATGTTTAACTATGTATTCTTTTGCCAGCTTAAAGCTGTTCATCAACAACTGCAGGCTCTGTCTCAAGTACCTTTCCATAAACTAAAGAAAAAGAATGTGAAGTCTAAAAGGGAAAAGAAAAAAGAAAAGCTTAATAACAGAGAGGAAAATTCAAGGAAAAAGTTTAAGCAAATGAAAAAGTTAAAGCAAATAAAAGTAAAGGAAAATTCCAAGAACAAGTAAGTTGTCTTTTATTATGGCTTACTAACACATACCATTATCTAAAATAAGCTAAATTAAATTTTGTTACAGACAGCCAAAGAAGAGGAAACAACAAGTCTTTGCCCTAAAATCTGAGGATGAAGATAATGCTAAACCTATGAATTATGATGAGAAAAGGCAGTTAAGTTTAGATATAAACAAACTTCCTGGAGATAAACTTGGGCGAATAGTTCACATAATACACTCAAGAGAGCCTTCACTGAGAAATTCCAATCCTGATGAGATCGAGATAGACTTTGAAACACTGAAAGCATCAACACTGAGAGAGTTAGAAAAGTATGTTGCAGCATGTCTAAGAAGAAGACCACTAAAGCCGTACGGTATGTATTTCTGTGTAGTAATAGAATTCAGGCTGCTATGCGTGCTTGTTTTTGATTGTACTCAGATATGTATGTTTGTTTTTCCCCTTCCTAAATTACACAGCTAAGAAAATAATGAAATCCAAAGAAGAACTTAATTTTCAGAAAAAACAGGAATTGGAAAAGCGGTTACAGGACGTCAATAATCAGTTAAATTTTGGAAAGCGTCAAACAAAATGTAAGTGGCAGTTTAAAAATGTTCTGGAGACGACCTAATTATATTGCCATTTAAATTTGTTTCTTTGTTTCATAGCTGTGAAAGTTCAGGCACCCAAGGCCGTTGGAAGCGTTTCCCAATTGAGTGACAGCACTAGTAGCAGCAGCAGCAGCAGTTCTTCGGAGTCTGACAGTAGTAGCAGTGATTCAAGTTCTTCAGACAGCAGTGATTCTGAATCAGGTTAGCTCTCCCCTTACGTGTACTTCTGATTTGGGGAGAAGTCTTTACTTGTAATACTGAGCTCATATTCTGAAGAAATATTTGGTTCTTACCCAGAACCTATAGTTTCGATGTCATACTCACTTAATTGTATGTAGACAATCTTAATATTTTCTCATGCCTTAAATACTGTATAAAATGAAACTTTATATTATACCAATGTGACTTATAGGCTTGTAATGTTGAAAATAGGGTTTTAAAAGGTGAGAGTTTCTTAATAAATGCCAAATCTTAATATCAGAAAATACAAAATTAAAAATACTTTGATCTTCCCTTTTTTATAAAAGGTTATATTAGAACATCTTTCATTTTATTGTCATAAATACATAACACATGGTATATAGTGTGATAGATCACTTTAATGTTTCAAAGTATTTCCTGTTGTGACAATACATACTGAATTGCATGTCTTTTTGCTTTTTGGTTATTGCTTAGATAGTTAACAAGTAATCACTTCCCTAAGGATGCTAAGTTAGCTATAGTGTTGCATTATTGTTGACCAACAGACAAATTCAGAATGTAAAATACTTTTGTGCCTAGAACTTTGTTTTATTCTTAAATGAGATGTTTCCTGTTTGTCTTGAAATTCAGTTCTCTTTTAAAAGCATCCCATATAGAATATTGTCACATTATTAGGATATCTTACTGTTACATTAGAGCATTGCTGTTATTTCAGTCAGATAGTAAAGGTCGGCTGGCTTGCATATACGTTCTGCTTTACATTTGGTACGACATAGTTTTCTGTTTATGTGCTGCTAATTGCTGCATTTTTTTATATATATTTCTGAAGCTTACAGTAGTAAATATAGTGTGCTTTTTGTAAGAATTAACACAATCTTCACTTTTGTTAGAACTTGTCGTAGTTGAAAAGTTTGAAATTAATTTAAGGCAATGGTTATATATTATTTCTTATATTTGACTTTTAAGCATAAAGCAATGCTGGAAAAAAAATCTAAGTTGCATTTAGTTTTTTAAAATGTAACTAACTTTTGTAATTTCATCTAATAAAGCATTTGTGTCCTAATAAGTTAGAGCACTTTGTCTTTTATTTGTAGAATAAAAATCTTATTGTAAGCATTAGTTTGAATTACCTGCATTTAAATAAAAAACTGGGCAATAGATGCCTTGGGTATTAGAGACAAAGCACTGTATGCTTTGACTTTCATTTGAATTGTCAATTTCTGATAAAATATCAAAATATGTTATTCAAAGGAAAGAATCTTTAACAACGATGC